ACTTACAGTAGAAGTCATTTGCGTTCCCTCCAGGGATGAGCGATTCTCGCCTATATCAACTTTCTTTTCTCTCGTAAGTTCTCGCGCGTTTAGAGATGCGCCCCACTCGCGTTTAAGGTGCAGAGATCAAAAGCATTGCTTACCTAACTTTTTAAGGATGCTACTTTTAGCCCTCCCCCAAATCTACACACGTGTATTTCACTTGTGGAAAACTATCGATTTGCACAGTGTTTGGGTTGGAGATTCTCGCCCATATCAACTTTCTTTTGTCTCGTAAGTTCTCGTGCGTTTAGAGATGCGCCAAACTCGCGTTTTAGGTGCGGGGATCCAAACCAATGCTTACCTAACCTTTTAAATATGCTACTTTTAGCCCTCCCCCAAATCTACACAAACGTATTTCACTTGTGGTGTCCAAGTCTATCGATTTGGACAGTGCTTGGGTGAGGAGGGATTCTCGCCCCTGTCAACTTTCTCTTCTCTTGTAAGTTCTCGCGCGTTTAGAGATGCGCCACACTTGCGTTTTAGGTACGGAGATCCCAACACCCATGATGCTTACCTAACTTTTTAAAGATGGTACTTTTAGCCCTCTCCCAAATCTGCACACGTGTATTTCATTTGTGGAAGTCTTTGGATTTGGACAGTACTTGGGTGAGAGATTCTCGCCCCTGTCAACTTTCTTTTCTCTCTTAAGTTCTCGCGCGTTTGGAGATGCCTCACACTCGCTTTTTAGGTGCGGGGATCTTAACCAATGCTTACTTAACTTTCTAAAGATGCTACTTTTAGCCCTCCCCCAAATCTACGGACGTGTATTTCACTTGTGGAAGTCTGTCGCTTTAAACAATGCTTGGGTTGGAGATTGTCGCATATTTATATCTTTTTTTCACTCGCGTGTTTTCGCGCGTTTAGCGAAGCGGCACACTCGCGTTTTTTGTTTGGTGATCCCAAACTGTGCTTACGGGGCCCTTTAAAAATGCTAGTTTTGGCCCTCCCCCAAATCTACACAAGTGTATTTCACTTGTGGAATTCTATCGATTTGGACAGTGCTTGGGTTAGATATTCTTTCCCATGTCAATTTTCTTTTCTCCCGCGTGTTTACGCACGTTAAGCGAGTCGGCACTCTCGCTTTTAGATGTGGGGATTCCAAACTTTGCTTACCTCGCTTTTTAAAGATGCTAGATTTAGCCCTGTTCTAAATCTCCAACGTGTATTTCACTTGTGGAAGTCTATCGTTTTGAACAGTGCTTGGGTGGATATTTTTAATGATGTCAATTTACTTTTCCCTTGTCTTTTCTCGCGCGTTTAGCTATGCGGCACACTCGAACTTTTAGTGTCGGGATATTAAACTATGCTCACTGGGCTTTTTAAAGATGGTAGTTTTGGCCCTCTCTTAAATTTACACGTGTATTTTTTACTTGTGGGAGTCTTTCGATTTGGACACTGCTTCAATGAGACTTTCTCGCCCACATCAAATTTCTTTTCTCTCGTAAGTTCTCGTGTGTTAAGAGATGTGGCACACTCGCATTTTGTGGTGTAGGGATCCCAAAGTACGCTTACGGGGTTCTTTAAAAATGCTAGATTTGGCCATCCCCTCAAATCTACACACTTGTATTTCACTTGTGGAAGTCCGTCGTTTTGGACAAAGCTTAAGACGGAGATTCTCGTCCACTTACATTTTTTATTCTCGCGTGTTTTCGCGCGTTTAGCGATGCGGCACACTCGCGTTCTTGGTGTGGGGATCCCAAACTATGCTTACGGGGCTCTTTAAAAATGCTAGTTTTGGCCCTTTACCAAATCTACACAGACTTATTTCACGTGTGGAAGTCTATCGATTTGGACAGTACTTAGGTTGGAGATTCTCGCCCATATCAACTTTCTTTTCTCTGGTAAGTATTAGATCGTTCAGAGATGCGCCACACTCGCGTTTTAGGCGCGGGGATCCCAACCAGTGCTTACGTAACTTTTAGCCTTCCCCCAAATATCTACACACGTGTATTTAACTTGTGGAAGTCTATCGATTTAGACAGTGTTTGGGTTGGAAATTCTCGCCCATATCAACTTTCTTTTTTCTAGTAAGTTCTCGCGCGTTAAGAGATGCGCGACACTTGCAATTTTAATGTTGGGATCTCAAACTATGCTTACTGGACTTTTAAAAGAAGCTAGATTTTGCCCTTTCTCAAATCTACACACGTGTATTTCACTTGTGGTAGTCTGTCGTTGTAAACAATGCTTTGGTCGGAGATTCTCGCCCATTTATTTTTTTTTCTCGTGTCTTTTCGCGCGTTTAGAGATGCGCCACACTCGCGATTTCGGTGTCGGGATCTCAAACTATGCTTAGTGGACTTTTTGAAGATGCTAGATTTGGTCCTTTCTCAAATCTACACACGTGTATTTCACTTCTGGAAGTCTATTGATTTGGACAGTGCTTGGGTGAGAAATTCTCGCCCATATCAACTTTCTTTTCTCTAGGAAGTTCTCGCACGTTTAGAGATACGCCACACTCGCGGTTTTGGTG